GACAACAAGGGATCAAAAGACATAATTTGAAAGACATAAGTGCAAACCCCCCCTTTTCGTGACACCCCACTTACTTTGAAGGGATAAAGCAACCTTAAATCAAAAGAACTGAGAAAAAAAAATCAGTGTAAAACAAAACAAAAAACAAAACACATGCATACATAAATCTTCTTCCAGTAGCTGGGTAATAATGTGAAGAGCAAAGGTTGCCCACAAGGGAGACTGCCAAGGACACGCAGGATGACGCCAGCAAGCGGGAGGAAATGGGGATGGCTGCTGTCAGCAAAGAGCAACCTGCTGCCTGCGCCGAGGCCATGGAAGCACCAGAAGGAGCTCAGGGACAGCCCAGGCAGCCGCCGCAGGCCCAGGACGGTCGCACTGCGTCCTGCCCGGCGAGGGCAGCGGGACAGGGCGGCCGCGCCGCGGGGAAGGGCAGCAGCCAGCTCTGCCCCACGGAAGGCACTCACACAGGACCAGGCTTTTCTGTGATGCTTGGAGGGATGAAGGATTTAGCCTGTAGATCAGCTTTGCTTTCTATCACTGCTAATATCAGAAAATACCACAGAAACTTAAAAAAAAAAAAAATCACTTCAGCTTTTCATGGGCTCTGCCTCCTGAGTGTAGCTTTTCCACAAGTTTTCATCTATGAGAAAAGGAAAAAAAGAGAGGAAGTAACACAGCGAATAAGAAGGCTTTACTGTGTAAACAAATGCGCCTTCACCCTTGGCAGGGTTAGTGCCAAGATCAGTCATGGGAACGGTGCGTTTCAGTCAGCGGCAGTTTATTTGCGTCTCCAAATGCACGCAGCCCGACCACAGCTCGCATTCCTGAATGGAAGCTGTAACAGAAAGCACCAAGGGGGTCACATGTGACGGAAAAATGTCAGCGCGTGTCTGGCCAAATTGGAATCCGGAGGCCGTTGCAACATCAGCCCTCGGGCTGCTGCCGCGCAGCTGGAGGCCGCTGCCGCCGGCCGGGGCTCCGCACCGCGTCGCTGCTCCCGGCGACTCCTCTCGCTGCTCTTCCTCTGGCACCTCTTCACTGCCAGCCGGTGCAAAACACAAAGCTGTACCACGAAGCAGCGCGGGTTTCACCCATCCCTTTCCCCGGGCCCGCTGGTAAGCACTGGTGTCCTCTGAACTCAGCGCACGAGAACGTTCTCTATTCAGCTCTATAAACGGTGCCTCTCAGCACAGCAGAAATGATCAGCCGCAGGCGATGGAAAAGAGCTTCGCCATCCAAGCAGTGCTATTTTTGAAATGGTTTTTTTTTGTAAAGCTACTGTTGTTTCTTTGGTAGGAATAAAACAAAACTGAACTAGCACCTCCTCTGCTATGGGCCACACAATCACAGTTGGTCTGAGGCTCTATTTTCCATCACTGCTCAGGAGATGTACCCTGAGCAAGTACTTTACTACAAGCCTTGCAGGAGCTTCCCCTGCTGCCTCTGTATTGCTCAGTCTCCACGTACAACCCGGTGTTCCCACAGCCTGACTCTGGATAGCAGGAAAAATTCAGAGCAGAACGCAGAAATGGAGAACCAAGAATGAGGACAAGGCCAGAGCAGGCACCTAGGCAGGGTGATTGGTCCCCAGTTGGTGAAAATCTCCCATTAGAGGAAAACTTGAAGCTTCAGCAGATATCAAACCGAGCTTCAGTTTGTTGCAAAGTTAGAGGATGGAGCTGCACTTGTCACTGCGGCCCTTCCAAACCAAGTGTCCAGCCCTGCCTGTTCTCCAGGCCATGTGCAGGACTTCCAAAACACTCCTGCGTCAACCGCCTCTGAAACTCCTAACTGGAAAGAAACTTCTTCCCCTGGGTGTTTTCACATTCCTTTGGTCCAAACTGTTTCCTAAACACAATGTTTGTGTTATGCTTGCTAGAAAACTCACAGCAATGGGCTGTCCAAGTACAAACAGAGGAATGCAATTCAGTAATTTTTCTGGAATTAGGTCTTGGTTAACTTTTCACAGAATAGGCTGTGGGAACAATAACATAATCCACCAATCATTGGCTATTAAAACAATGTAGATGTGAAGTACAAATTATTTTTAGGGATAAAAATTTTAAAGCCATCGCTGAATTACAGCTTTGATCTGAGTTATCAAGACAACTTTTTCTGCAAGGATTTTAAGCCTGAAAAAAGCACTGTGCCTATGATGTTAGACTGATTCGAGTGCCCATGCCTTTCTCTTTGGGCCACAGATACAGGCACTTCCCGCACACATCACCAAAGCTCCAAAGCCACCCCGTCTGCTTCCCATTGGCACAGTTCTCCCATGCAGTCTCCACTGCGACCTGCTCAGAAATAGCAGCAAGTCAGTCCCCATTTCTGTCATGAGCACTGACTGTATTTGCTTGCAATTTCACTAAGCAAAGTGTGATTTCCTTTCATTCCATTACAAACAGTATTGCAGACTGGATTAAGGATAATAATTTCATATCAATATGTCATTGCCAGATAATATAGGTCCCATTACAACCAACAAATTTGGATATAGCCCTATGCCCTATCCCAGACTGCAATCTGATCAGAGACTGAACTGCAGGACTTTTCCAGTTTCGTATATTGTGATGTAAATTGTGACCTAGTTCCCATGTTCGGAACAGGACCAACAGCCGGGACCATGCGCTGAATGGGAGCAGCAGAGGCGAGCAAGGAAATTAACATTTGTCCTTAATTTGAAATGGATTTTCATCATTTTCAGGTGCCTCAAAGAAAGGACACGCACTTGTATATCACCATCGTTGTGACACAAGGGTGCACACAGGAGGTGACCTGCTTTTGTGTCACTGTTTGACACGGGTATCTGCTGAAACACCAGAAAACAACACTTTTTTTTTGTATAATTTGCTGGAGTGCATAATGAAGACTTGTGAAAGCGAGTTTCTGAATCTGTTCCTTGGAACTTGTTTTATAAAGAAAGCACGGCAAAGGTTTTCTAAAAAGAGACTGGAGGTTAGATTGTACCCATCTCTCCAAAAAGTTAGCAGAGATCTTTTTAGCACAATCTTTTTAGATAAAAGCCTGACAGATTAGCTCTGAGAAGATTCTAATCAAGGTTTCAGTTGTGTGAATCTGTAATAAGCGTAATGAAATTTAGCACAGTTGGTGGAAAATACTGAATTCACAGAACTCCGTGCTGCAATACTAGTGATCCTGTTACAACAGGCAGGATTGGAGCCCAACCTGAGGCCGCTATCTGGTAGCAACTGCTTTAAATTAGGGGTGCAAGGGAGTAATTAGTTGAAAACCTGATGGATGGTCACGGCACATTTAGCACTGGTATCTTCACTGGAAACCATTAGCCACAGAACAGCTGTGGCAGCAGTCACTCCGAATAGAGTCTGAGCTCCCTCTGCTGGGACAAGCAGTTTTCTGCACAGGAGTTTAAGCCAGATAGTCCTGCTTTTGCTACAGGCCTCAAGGCTATCAGATAATTAAGATGAGAAAATAAACGAATTCCAAAACCTCTGATTTTAACCTCCATTTAAAACCTCCATTTTAAAGGAGAGGAATAGCTGAGCTGTTCATGTGAAATATCGTGAGCCAGAGTATCGCAGTTTAGCTGCACAGGCTGCCCTCAATTCCAGCAGGGAAAGATGGCTAAAAGAGCCTTCATCTTCCCTGGAAAGAGCTCCCTGAAGCAAGCCACAGTGTGCAAAATTCCCAAAGCAAGCCCTGCCCTCAAGGAAAAGAAAACACACACAGTAGATCCCCACATTCTCTCATACTAACTTCTCAGCCCCATAAAACATAGCCCATCAAATTTAGTGGAAATAGTTCTGAAGAACATAAAACCTGACAGGATTATAGAACTGTTACCTGCAACATGCCCAGAAAGCTAGGAAGTTTTTCAGTCCTGTGTTTCTTAAGTCTGACTGCCAATGGAGCTGGCCAGAAATACAAGAAGCATAAAGGTAAAGTCCTCAAACTCAAGCCCTATTTCTCTTCTATTAGATAAGCACATGGGATCCAGCTTCGTGTACTACTTTGTTTCAACATAGGAAAACAAACCAAAAAACAGTAACAACAACAAAAGCAGTGGTCTAGAAATATTTGTATTCTTTACTTTTTTTTTTTTGTGGTAGCAATGAAAATTGAAGCTGATTTCCATCACACACATACTGGATATACCCAGGATGATCCCATCCCTTTTAATCAAAACATCATGTATGTCATTTCTCTTCTTCCTCTTCTTCATAATCCAAGAACATAACGTAATTCCAGGAAGTATTCCAGTTATTTTTCACACGGGGTCAAGCAAAAGAAAGTACATTTTTGTTTCTCATTAGAGGAGCCTGTTGAGAGCTCTGCTGAGTTAAGTGAACATTAACTAAGAACTGCAAAAACTTTTGCCAGAGCAGACCTTAAGCAGAATCATGAGTAACTCCTGCAGGCAAAAACACAAAGAATGACTTATTTTATAATGTCCTTGTTCTGAAAGTTATCAGCATTTCACACTGGCACACACTTACATATTCAACTGATGGAAACCAGTAGCAAACGTTTATTAAGCAACAGCTGCACAGTGTGGAATTCAGACTGATACTTGCTCCTTGGAAATGGCATCGCTGGGCAGTGAGTACTGCAGGTGAAGTTTACCAAGAACAGCAAAATACTGTTTCCTCAGCCAGACAGAATTCAAGGGTGGGAAAAAAAGAAAGAAACAGAGAGCAGCAACAGCAAGGCAAGCACCCATTGGAGTGTTTTCATTCAACATCTTTCAGCAGAGAAAAGCAATTAGGCTAAAAATTGGCATCAAGTTTTAGTTTCATATATTCAAACACTAAAAAACAGTCATGGCAAGTATCTTTTTGCCTTTGTGCACTCCCAATAAAAAATAACAGTCAGCAAGAGATTTTTCTGAAAAGGAATGGTTTTCCACTGACAACATCACGTGTTTATGTATTTAATTGGAAAAAAGTCTCATGATGACTTCAGCTCCATGTTGACTGCTGCATGAGCTTTGCTTATTCACTGGAAAAAAAGTGAACTTAATCCAGTCTTACACATGAACACCAAGCCTGCTCAAGTAACTCTCCCATGCCACCTTCCTGTACTTCTCTGCTTCTCGGAGGCGGTCTGAGGCAGACAAGATGCCACGTCCCACAATGATGATGTCTGACCCTTTTTCACTGATAACTTCTTTTGGACTTAGGTACTTCTGTCCGAGGTCATCACCTGAAAAAGACATACCATTTTTTCTAACTTGTACAAAGTTATATCTACTAAAAACTTTCAAAGAGAGGCTTGAACAGAGAACAGGTATGTTGCTGCAGATCTCACCCAAATAATCCACGGACATAACTAGAAACTGTATCTCCAGCTGAGAAACAAAACAAAACCCAACTTATTATACAGATAAAATTTGACTTAGAAAGTCCTTCTTCCTCGTGATTTAGAAGTAACAATATACAGAAGAATCACTCAAAAAGCACTGGTAAGTCTCTAGTCTTCCTAAAGCAGGCACAGCACCAAACATTCAAGTAAAAGCTTGTATTTTAACTTCTGTTTTCCCTGAGAATAAAATAGTGCAGGGAAATGCATCTCCTTCACCTGGTTCAGTGAGATAGTTTATTTAGTACACAGCTTTTAATCCTTTGATACTGAATCTACATCAGAATCAGCAGATAAACTCACATATTTGTCAATATTTCTTTCTACTCCTCCTGAGCAGTTCTACATCTAACCTAAGGGCCATCTGAACACATTTTGAACAGGACTGTACTCTGGGGTACAAACAGACTGCAGCACAGGCTGGTCTAACAAAGAAGCTGCTTCATGTGCTGGTTCCCTCTCAGAAATCCCAGGAAAGGGATCAGTATATCCAGCAACATAAAAGCAAGCTAATAAAGGGAAAAGGCAAACGGACTCCTCCTGCTGGAGAACCAACAACTCTTCTTCTGAAGCCACATTTTCACTGAAGGCTACATGTTTACACTGTTCATGATCAGACTGTAAGTGTTTCAGAGGAAGTTACCTCCAGCTTGCATCTGCACCCCTGGAGTTAAGTGAAGAAATTCTGGTCTTTTACTAACTCTTGATCCAGAAATGAATCCAAAAACAAAATCTGAGTTTTCTTCAGCCATCTGCACCTAAAGATGATAAGAAAGCCATTACAAATCACACACCTAACACTAAGTTTGACCTGCAGTATGTTCCTGGTCCAGTCACTAATGTGTGTTTGCACATGAAGCTGTGCAAAACAGTAACAAAACACTTTGGCTAGCAAGTTCTCACTTCACCAATATAAGCCAGATCTGACTGACCCCTAATTGATTTAACTGATTTTGCTGTGCTTGCAGACAGCAATGGTAACATTAGATTTGTTTCTATGTTATGGACAAGATATGGGATGAACTTACACTAATGACAATTTGTTACCAAATAACAAGGGCCAACAAGCAAACTTGGCCTGTTTACTAGAATTCGTGGTGTATTCTCCACAGAATTTTACATCATTTCTAATGAAGTCCTTTTACATCATTAGTCTGCAGCTGTAACCTTTAAGCACCACACTGAGATGCCTGAGTCTCCACACGAAGAAGCACTACAACAGTTAGAGCTGAACAGACCCCTGAAAACGCAGATTTTAGGAGCACATAGAAATTCCCCTGTCAGAGCATTGTACAAGATTTTAGCCACAAACAAAACTCCACACTTACTGCAGCTTTTGTGTAGTCGCCCGTGGCGAGTGACCCCTGGGAACTCATCTCGGCAATGAGGAGGCAGCCTCGCTGTAAAGGGAGACCCACTTCCCTCAGGCCTTTCACCACTCCGGAGCCCGGAACCACGTGAGCATTAACCATATCTGACCAAGAAGCTATTCTGAAAACACCACCTGGGAAAAAACACAGGAAGAGACAGGCTGAGTGTCAGAAACGTACGAATGGGAAACGTGAGTTAAGTAAGCAAAACAAGCAGCACGTTACATTTTGCACATTTTAAAAGGTATGTTTACTACTGAGGAACGTTCAGTCTCATCAAGCAATCCTGACAGCTGCCCAACCACAAATGATAATCTTGCAGTTTTATTTTTCATGAACACCTTAGTATTTGGCCTTGCATCATTAATGGTGACCTAAACACTTGCTGTTATAGGTGCTACCTTTCAAGCCCACATGAGGACCACATGGATCAGCAAAAAACACAGCTGCATGTGCCTTATGGAATGAAAGCTCTAGTAAGGACACATGCCAAGAGCAGCAGGCTACCCTAAGAGCCACACCACACTCCTCACGGCAAACCACCATTCAGAAGTACTTACTGAGCACAGTCATGGAGTCCTGAAAAAAAGATTTAGGCTGTAAGGGACCTCTGGAGGTCATCTCCTCACAGCAGGGTCAACTTCAAAGCTAGGTCAGGGCGCTCAGGGCCTTGTCCCCTCCAGTCTCCTCCAAGGATGGAGATGCCACAATCTCCCAGCAACCTGCTCCAGAGCCACAGTTAAGCAGCCTGGCAGCGAAGCTACAGTAAATCAAGGTTGATGATAATCACCTTCATATTGATGTTTCACTGTGTTTCCAATGTCTGCAAATTTCCTGTCTTCGAAGATCAGGAATTCATGCTGGTCTGCAAGCGCTCGCAGCTCCTTCACTACCTCTGGGCTAAAGTCACTGAGGATGTCGATATGGGTCTTCAGGATGCAGATGCTGGGGCCCAGGCTGGCAGCCACCTGCAGCAGCTCCCTGCAGTCGGTGACATCGGCGGAGAGGCACAGGTTGCTCTGCTTCTTCTCCATGAGCGCGAGCAGCCTGGCGGCGACGGGATGCACCCCGGGGAGCGCGGCCCGGGCGCTGAAGCTCAGCTCCTCACACGTTCTCGTCACGGCGGCAGGACCGTTCCGAGGGGCTGCCTCAAACACGCTCTCCTGAATGAACTTCTTCACCTTTTCAACCGTGTGGGCATCCACTTCCCCCTGCTGCTGGAGAGTCTCCAGCACCCCGGACAACGTGCACACGGAGTGCAAGCGAATTCCACGTTCTTCCAGCCTGGCCTTCCCGCCCTGCTCCCTGTCCAACAGCACGACGGCATCAGTGACTTTGATCCCTTCTTTCTGAAGGACCTCTACAGTTTCCAGCACGCTAGATCCACTCGTCACCACGTCCTCAATGATCAAGCAGGTTTCTCCTGGATTAATGGTGCCCTCCACCAGCCGCTTCGTACCTTGAAAACAAAAGGAACACACGCCACTAAATCAAGAAAGTTTGAAGACTCCAGAAACCTGAGCAACAAAAGAAATCTCTAACTTGCCACACTAGCTTGAAGATCAGATTTGTTCTGCATACAAGTATACACTGTAGTAAACAGTGGAACTGGATTTTGATGTGATAGGAATCCCACATTCCCCTTCATTACAGAGAAGTAATCTGTTTAGTGATTTAGCAAGTATCACAGTCCTAATTATAGCTCAGGCACTGATTGTAATGAATTTCACAGCGACTGTTATTTCTCCAAAAGGAGAAAATACTTTTTTATTTCCAAAAATTATGTTCCGTTATCAGAACCGACAGCAGGCACTGATTGTAATGAATTTCACAGAGACTGTTACTTCTACAAAAGGAGAAAATACTTTTTTATTTCAAAAATTATGTTCCGTTAACAGAACTGACAAATAATTAATTGCACATATTAAAGTAATCTTTGAATGATGTGCCAAAAGAATGTCAATTTTTATTGCTATGAATCCAATGCTCAGAATGTGTAATATACTGTCTCCAGTTATTTGCAACAACTTTAACAAAGTTACTGCTGCTCTTCATTTTGACATTTATTTCCCACCAGCTTTAATCTCTTACTTAATGCTTGTCAGAACAGTTAGAAACAGAAGAGCCCCAAACAATAGCTGACAATAGGCACAAATCCATGAATGGGACATCAACAAAAGAGACCCTTCTGTCCAGGAAGGGCGAGGAGCAGGAGCAAGGTGCTCAGCCCCTGTCAGGCTGTGACAGGCTGGCAAGTTTGTGCAAATGCAGCTTTATCCATCCCAGAATCCATGGCATACTGGAAACCTTGTGCCAGGCAGCTAACTGCTGTCACGGTTAACTTGCCTTGCATAAAAAGGGAATTTTTCGGCTGGCACACGGCTACCTGAGTACTACCGTTGAGTTTTGACAAACACCCAGGAACAGTCTGAACAGGGACGTACAGACTGGCACACGAGGAGATCTCCAGCTGCTCAAGCAGGCCGGTACTTGAGCCTTCTCCACATTCCCTCCCCCAGGAGCAAAGGGGCACTTGGCAGAGGCCAGATTGCCTCTCACCTGGCCCACCTGGTCCCCTGACCACAGAATATATCCCATTAAAAGCAACGCGCAGCCCTGGTCTCTCAGCACACTAGAGTTTCCTAGTATATATCACTGTTTCTGGGAGAGGCCAGTGACCCGGAACCACAGGAACACTGCCAAGGAAAGAGGCTCTGCTGGAGTTCGTTTTAGCAAAAAACCTTAGGAGTCACCATATCTAGTACAGCAGGATTCAAGCGACCAGCTGGAAGAGTTTTATGAGGCTGGGATGCTTCAGGAAGTACATTTGGGGGGATGGGATTAGAAAGGGACTTTCTTTTCCAAGTGGAGTGGCAGTATTAAACTGAAATAAAGCTGCTGCACATCACAGAAGAACAGTAAATATATGAAGCCATTTCACCAGCAAGGCTGCCCACAAGAAGAGAAACTCATCGTTTGGAGGCTTTACCGTAGTCTTTCGCCTCCTTCCGCCGTACGAGCATGGGAATCTGATGCTTTGAGCAGATGATGGTGGCCAAGGGCAGCGCCGTGTAGGGGACCCCGCACACGGAGCCGAACTCGAGACCTGCATCCTGCGCGGTCTGGAACAGCAGATCTGCCACCTGGAGAAACGGGTGCCAACAACCAGAGCAGGTTGTTACTAAACAGACACTACCCACGGGAGCAATGCCAGCGTGTGGAAAAAAACCTCTTTAATATTATTATTATTATTATTTAATAACAGCTGGCTCTAAAGCACCTAGCAGTTTGGTCATTAGCAAATCACTACTATTAATTCTAAGATCTCACAAGTACTGTTAAATACAAGCATCCCCTAAACGCTTCTGCAAAATTTAGGGGGTTTTTGTGTCTTTTTTTTCCCTTTGAACTACTACTAAACATTATTTACTTCACACTGAAAACAGAAGTGGTTTGTTGTTCTGCTGTTACAAAAAGCAGCTCGAGCAGCACTATTTCCCCCAAAGCCGTGATAAATTTCCAAAAATTTGCATTAAAAAGCTAATCCTCATTTTTCGGGTTAAGCTCGTCACAGACCGCCACTTTCAACACGCGGGCTGCACGCAGGGCACTGCCCGACGCGGATAAAAACGAAAGATAATAAATAATAACAATAATAAAGGGGCCGGGAGCCCGCGCACCTGCGTGAGCAGCAGCGGGTGCGAGACGATCACGCGCAGATCCACGTACA